GGGGGGGGGAATAGAATGCCAATCTACTACCACTGCCCCTGGAGCAATTGGTCGATCTTCGTAGATTACGCTGGTTGGGGCATGTGCTACACATGTCACCAAATAGGTTGCCACTGCACACAATGTTTGCTGAGACCGGTAGTGGGTGGAAGAAGGCAAAGAATGGTCACGAGGGTATGAAATCCCCAATCAGGGGACTGGGTCACATAAGTCCTGTTAGGCTCCCTGGCTGGGGACCTCGGGATGATTGCAACTGATGGTTAGAGACACTGGGTGTCGCAAACAGTGGCGTTCGTGCATCTCAATTTCTTTGCAACGTTGCGGGCGCATGAAAGTGCATGGTTAATGGTTGTACAAACTAAAACTGAAACACCGAATATGCATTGAACTTTTGATAGACGGATCTTATGTTTGAGTTTGTCGTCTCCTGGGATTTTATCCGGGTACATCTGTTCCCATTTTTGTCTTCATGCACCCAAAGTCACTGGCCCATCATTCAGAATAGCGCTCTAATGTCCATTCACAATATAAACCAAGCGAGGAACAATGCGACAAGTGGGGGCAATCCATAGTGGAAAACATTTAACCCCAATCCTCCCGCGCACAAGGTTGGGGGCTTTGCATGTCTGCTGGGTTGTGTACGGTCAAAATGAACCCGTTTTATCGATCGCCCAGTTTGTGTGTGTATGTTTGTCGTGGCTGGTTCCGTTCTCTGCTAAATTATCGTGAGGTCAATGAATTCAGCCGGTTCTTTTGTTCGAACACAAACTCAGTGATCGTCTGTGCAACAATTGAATTGGATTGAACTGAAGCATACCAGTATTGTTATGCACATACTCTGTTGTCTACCGAATTCACGTGATACACACTGTCGATTGACTACCAGTGTCAAGTTGCTCAGGTACAACAAAACAAGGCATTGAACACGAGCTGGGCAAGGAGTACGTAATCTGAGTGCCGGTTTGGAACACGTAAATTATCTAACCATGTTTGGTGTTTTTTTTACTGGTGAAGTCACAAACATGGGTTTGTACAATGTATCTATTGTGTCCCAAATTTAGTGGGCAAATGAGCACACAACGAATGAAGCAGTAAGCTTATTGTAAACAGCAAATATGTATCTGGGGAACAAGCAGGAACGAAGGCAGACAAGCTGACTCCGGCTCACACGTCACTGCATGCGAATGTCGTCAAGCCGGAATTCAAACAGTTAGTCAATCGATTAATCAATTTGACCATAGGCATGTAGGAACACAAATCAGTCAGTTGTAAGCTATAACAGTATCCATGTTCATTTCGCTGCATCTGTACACGTGCATACTGCAACCAAAGTGATTTTCATGGTCAGTGAGATAAAGACAAGGTAGCTAATCACGACGGACAACACGGAAAACGGGAGGGGGTAGGGGTCAATCAGCAAGGTGGCTTGAGAATATGAATTGTATTTCTAGTGTTATGGATGACCTGAAATACGTGTCGGTTGGAGTGACACAATGTTTGCTTAAAAGTTGTGCTATCGAAGATCTAAGTCTTTTCTGCCTATTCGACGACGTGACCGTTTGAGACTACTTGTTCATGGCTTTCGCAGGTCACACCGTGATATGCTCGGTCGTTCGGTGACGCAACTACCTGCCTATGCACATGGCCGAGCATCTACACTTGAATTGGTAAATGTAGGTCGTTTATAACACGACAATCACAAAGTTACTGAAATTCGCCGATACTCAAACCTGAAATATGCAAACAGCGTGAATGGTTAGTTACACTAGGTTTGCCTTGGTGATTGACCCCTACCCCCTCTCGTTCTTTGTGTTAGTCTGTTGTGTGGTCCGTTGCGACTAGAGCGATTTTATCTTCGTGTCACGATTGTTATCTCACTAACTATAAAAATCACTTTGACTATAGTATACACCGTGTGCAAATGCCGTGAAATGACCACGCATACATTGTGCAAACCGATGCTTCGGATGTACATTCAAATTTGTGACAGGAAAACGGCATTCTTTCAATGTTTACAATGATGTCGACAACTGGGAGTGTTCGATCCAATCCATTCCAGTCTTCACAACATGAAGTATGAC